ACTTTTGATGAATATATTAAAACCTGGTATAACCAGGGGGAACTATTTTTTCTAGATTTTCTAAATCTGAAGTGGGTACTTCATAGACATGTTGTTCATGTACCTTAAGAAAACATCATATTTTCAGTGGAAAATAATTTGAACCAAAATCTGTGTAAATTTTAGTGTCTTCAGTAATCTGTAAACTGCTGAGTCTGAGAACTATACCAGTAAGAAGTAAATTTGGGCCTAAATTGCTATCATCCCTTGTCTAGATTACTGCAGTAGCATTCTAGCTGGTCTCTGAAATCTCATTCTCATATCCCTACTCAACAGAGAAGCCAGTGACTTCACAACTCTCAGAGAAGTTAAGTCAAAGTCCTTATGATGACCTCTTATCCCTAGGTTTCCATATACCTACACACATATTTTTTGTTAGATTGTTATTCAATCTCAAGGAGACCTTCCTTCCTTGATCCTTAAGCTAAAATTATAATTCTTTGGAATGTCTTGTCCCTGTTCCTTACTTTACTTTTTCTTTGTATTTATCATCATTTAGAATATTATATATTATGTATATTATATTTATATATGTATATATTTATGGCTCTTCAACAGAAAGTAAACTCCATGAAGGAGAAGACTTTTGTCTGTTTTTTTTCAATGCTAATTCTGAGAGCCTAGAATAGGATCTAGCATGTAACTGTTTGGTATTTTTATTGAAATCATCTAAAATAATATCCCATACAGATAATAAAAGCTTTAAGTGTAAACTGTCCCTCCTTCCCCTTATTTGTACAGATAGATTTAGTAATTGATAAAGGGGTAGTGTTATCTCAGTAGAAGAATGTTTTATGGGAAGAACATAATAAGGATAATTAAAAATTGCTGTTTAGGGATTTTGGAGTAACTACCTGTTTGAAACTTATAACCTCTTAAATGTCTTCCTTACCTCCAATCTTAGGGATGAATAAAATTATAATTACCTATTAAATTTTAATTACCCACTACTAAATTAACAGAGGAAATAATTATTATTGAATAGCCTCTTTTTCTGATATGATTACTTCTTGTTACCTCTGTCAGTCATATATTTATCAAATTCAAGGTCAGAAGAAATACAAAGACCAGTTAATAAATTGTTTAAATTTTTAAAACAGCTACAATAGAGTAGTAGTAATCACTGTCACTATTGTCACAACATGACTGACCAACTTAAGCATGTACTCTAATCTTCATCTTCTTTCTTTTCATTCATTTTCCCCTTAATCATTTGGTCACTTAAATATTTGTAGACTGTCTATCATTTTGTTATCTTTTTCAAAGGCAAACTTCAAAAAGAAGTTGCTGCTGATTTCTGTTCCAATTTCTCACTTATGAGCTATCTTCTAACCCTTTTCAGCATAGCTGCTGTTACCACATAGCACTGGAACTGCTGTGTCTAAACTCACTGAAAACCTGAACATCACTAAATCCAATGATCTTTTTTTTAGCCCTTATTTGGTTGCTCTCTGAGTAACACACAAAAGAACTAACCATAGTTATTAATCATCCTTACCGTCACTTGTTTGACAGAAAAACTAGTTCGGGTTCCCCCCCCACCCGCCTCCTTTTTTTCCTTTTCATTAAGTATAACACACATATAGAAAAGTGCTCAAATCATTAATGTCTAGCTCAATGTCAATTATCTCAAAGCAGACAACCTTGTGTAACTACTACCCAAGTCAACAAATAGAACATTCCTAGGATTAAAGCAACCTCCTTCTTATTCTTCCCAATTACTATAATTCCTGCCTCCTCCATCTGACCAAACTAGCCATCTGATATCTAAAACCATAAATTGGTGTTGCCTGTTTAGAGCATTATATAAATGGAATGACACGGTATGTAGTACTTTATGTCTATTCTTCAGTGAATCCTTTGTGAATTATCTGTTTGAATCTCTTATTTTTCTGTTAGGAAGTCTTCCTAGATACTAAATAAAATCTAATATATACAAATATATGCTACTCAGTAGTTTGCCTTTTCACTTTCTTAATCGTGTTATGATGAATAGAATTCTCAATCCTAATGTAGTTCAATTTGTCAGAGTTTTGTATTCTGTTAAAGAAATCTTTATCTATCCAAGATCAGGAAAATATTCTTATATGTTATTTCTGGAAGCTTTATTGTATTATTTCTCATTTAGATATACAATGCATTTGGGATGGGGTCAATTCCCCCTACCTCTCATCAAGATTATCTAATTGACCCAACATCAATGATTAAGAAGACCATCTTTTCCCCCACTGCTCTACAGGACCTCCTTTCTTACACCAAGAGTTCATATACTTCTGGGACCATTTCAGGTCTCTCCAATCTATTTCATTAGTTTAACTGTTTATTCTTTTACATACTTGCATTGTACTTTTACATCAGATTTGATATTAGTAGATTAAGTCTTCTCATCTCTATTGAAACCATCTAAAATAATACCCCATACAGATAATAAAAGTGTAAACTGTCCAGGTACTTGTCTTCTACCTTAGCTATTTTTTTAAAAAAAATATTGGGGATTCAACCCAGGGGCACTTTAACCACTGAGTTACATCCCTGGCCCTTTTTAAATTTTGAAACAGGATCTCGCTAAGTTGCTTAGAGCCCCCGCTAAGTTGCTGAGGCTGGCTTTGAACTTGCAATCCCCTACCTCAGCCTCCCAAGCTGTTGGGATTAAAGTTGTGCACTACCTGCTTTTTTGAGACAGGGTCTGACTAAGTTGCTGAGACTGGCCTTGAACTTATAATCCTCTTGTCTCAATCTCCTGAGTTGCTGGGATCACAAGTATGTGCCACTGAGCCTGTTCTACCTTGACTATTCTTGGTCTATACAATATTTCTAGATGAATTTTAGAACCAACTTACCATTGTGTATGTGGAAGGGTAGTACAACTGTGTTGTAATTTTGGTCTTCAGAACCAGAGGATAACATTGTCTTCTAATACATAATCGTGGTATAGTCCTCCATTTATTTAATAGTTCTCTATATAAAAGTCTTGTACATTTCTCATTGGGTTTCTTTTTCCTAGGTATTTACTATCTTGTAATGCAGTTAAAATTATTAATTTACTGTTTGTTGGTATATTTAAATACCAGAATAAATACAATTGATTTTCATAAGCTAACTTTCATTTTTGTTTCTATATGCATTCATTTTATGTTAACTAAACAAAAATCTTCTAAAAGCAGAACTCTTAAGGACTGACATAGAATGTTACATATACTGAAATTATTCAATGAAATATTTGACAGCAGGAAACTATGCCTAAAGACAAATCAGCAGGATATAAAAATGGAACAAAAATCTAATTCAAAATTAGACTGGCAAGTAATGAAGAACGGCTGTAGAAGTAGTTCTTTTGCCTCTTCTATTTATGGGTATAGCTTCTAGTGCTCATTTAGGTTAACCATTCTGAAAATGATCATGAACTGCGGTGAGTCAAGATAGTTACCAGACTTGTCAAGGACAAAAGAGAGGGGACTGGCTCTAGACCAGAGGCTTTTGCTCCTCATCTTAGTTTGCTTTGGGGACAAGTACCTGGAAGACTGTAGATATTTAACAATTTACTATATAGTTCTCTCTTCTATAACATTATAATAATTCTTCAGAATATGTTTACACTTCCTCAAAATCAACTGACTTTTGTGAAACAAAGCTTGAATAATCAAAAGTGGCAAAGCTAGTTATCAACATAATATTGCAAATTAATGAAAGAAAAGGAATTGAAAGCAGGTGATTCAGTCAATTCAATATATGTGAAATATCAATGTATGTGAAATATAAAAGGGCTATAAAATGAATGCACCCAGACAGGTTTTCAATGTAATTTAGGTCTACACCTAAACTGGTTTCATCACATGCCACAAAGATAAAATGGAAATAAGATGATAAAAAAATATGAATTTGGAGAAAACAATTTAGTAACCTGACTAATTTCTAGAAAAGCAACAACCATTACAGGATAATAAGAGAAATAAAGGATTCAAATACTGACCAAGAGTTCTGGACTTCATTTAGAAAATAAAGAAAAAGGCAAAACCGAAGCATAAGAGAAAAAAAAAAACCCAAACCAAATCCTGATTTTAAACATAAATCATAGCATTATACATATGGCCACCATAAAATTAACAAATTATTCTGTTTTAACTACCTATGAAAAAGTGTTTATAACTAAAAATCTATAGTTCACTAAGTGCATAACAAACAATATGAAGTACCAACATAAACACCTAACAGAATACTGTTGATATGAAATGAGGAAAGAGCTAGCTACTTTGATACTGATATTAATTCCTTTAATATATAATAACTGAAGTGAGATTTTGTTTCTTTGGGCTTTTTTGTTGTTGTTGTTGTTGTTGCTGTTGTTAGTTTGTTTTTTGTGGTGTTGGGGATCAAATCCAGGGCCTCCCACATGCCAGACAAGTGCTCTTACCATTGAACTACATATATCCCCAGCCCAAGATGGAGATTTTAAACTTTTTCCCTTCTGTCATCCACTCCAACCATGATTCTGAATTGAAGTTATGTATAGCATGCAAAGTTAGCTTAGCTAAATTAGCCTAATCTGACACTCCATTGTACAAGATAAAAGACAACATCAGTAGCTATGTGAACAGAGTATGTCTTTAATACTAAGTTCTCTGCACATACTGATTTCCCTGTCAATCTCAGGGCTTCGACAAAATAGCCAAGCCTCTTTCAAAATCTAGAACTCAGTAATAAACACAAAAACAACATGTCATCCCAACTTGCCAACACAAAACAGCAACCTCACTAACTAGAGTTCAGATAAATAAAAACTTTGCTGTTGCATGGTTATAAATAACAAAGAAAATTCTAATGACCTCTACCTCTGAGTTAGCATGTTATTGGTTTCAATGCACTTACTTAGCAGGAAACATAGGATGTTTTGTTTTACTATAACAAATCCACAAATTATCCAATAAAATCTAAGAATTTCTTTCATTTTATTATTAGCTTACCCAGTTTAGTGGCGCCCTCTGGTGGGTATTCAGGAAACTGACCCTCTGAAGGGACACTGACAGTTCTCCTCAGGCACCGCCCTTTGGATGAATCTGCCTGTTGCTCTTGTCCTTCCCCAGGTATCTAGTTAAGCAAAAGGGAAAGAGATGAAACTTAACAGTGAACTGGCCCTAACTACTTTGTGATTGAATAATCCTTTTAGTTAATGAAGACAGTAAGATAAAATGAGAAGAGCAAAGTAGGAGAAATGTAGATTAGTATTCACAATGGTAAGGTATCACTAACCCCTTTTCAGCTTTTCTTTAAAAAGAAATCTGAAAGATCAGGAAAGGTGAGTATGTAAATTAGCTTAAAAGAAGTATGTGCAAATCACATCCAGGTGTGAACCTGCTCTGTGAGCTCAGAAAGCAAAACAAAACAAACACCCACACAAATAAAAAGGTTCTTCTTTGTCAGAACATGGTTCACAGGCTCTAATTTTACTCAATGTTCAAATAGGTAAACAGAAATAAAAATGGGCCAGAAATATTTAGCTTCAAAATTCCTTTAAAGGAGGTGGTTTTGTTAAGGCAGTAAAATCACCTAAATATTCTTCAACTTTACGATCAAGTACTTTATTAACTTTTAGACATAGTTAATAAACCATGTTTCAGTGGAAATATGTATAGATATCTACATAAAATGACATATTTTCTTCCAAAGGTGAGAATGTTTTCAGAATCATAAAAATTATATTTTCTGGCAAAGTTTTAGGAACTAAGTAGTTGTTTGCATATGTGGAATGAGAACTACAAATGGAAAAAAAATCCCTGTAATGCCAATTACTAATTTAAAGCTTTTGACAGGTTATCATTGTAGAGTAGTAGGATAGCTCTAACATGTGTGTGTGCGGCATGTGTATGCAAGATATGTTCCAAGATCCCCAATAAATGCCTTAAGCCACAGACAGCACCTGTATATATTATGCTTTTCCTATTCCTATCTGATAAAATTACCAATTAGGTGCAGTAAGAGATTAACAACAATAAGAAAATAGAACAATTGAAACAATATACTGTAATAAAAGTTATGTGAATGTCTTATCTTTCTCTACCTTCCCTCCTCCATGATTCAAAATACTTTACTGTACCGTCTCATTACAGCTTCTCTTTGACATGTCCACACTGCCAGCATCCATTACTCTTGTACTTTGGGGTTTTATTAAATAAAATAAGGGTTACATGGAAACAACACTGTGATACACTGACAGTTGATCTGATAAGCAAGATGCTTCCTAAATGACTAATTGGTAGGATCACATATAGTGTGGATACAGTGGACAATAGGAGGATTCACATTCCAGGCAGGAAGAAGCAGGTTAGCATGCTATTTCAACATACTATGCAGAACAGTGCAGTTTAAAACTTATGAATTATTTCTGGAATTTTCCATTTACTATTTTCAAACTGCAGTTGACCATGGAAAACTAAGACTGTGAAAGCAAAACCCCAGATAAGGGGGTACTACTATAAGGCTCAGTTTGGGGGCAATGGGCAGACTTAATAATGATATTTTATTAGTAATTTTCATTAGAATAATTGTACTGATACTATCTTAAATAGTTTGAGAAAGTATGTCAGTAATTAATCATACTTCCTAATTTCTTATGGTTTCTGAATTGTTATCAACAAATTTCAATAATAATGACTAACATTTAACTCTTACTATGTACAAACCTAAGGAACATTTACATGTGACATTATAAGGGAGGCATTATAATTATCCCCCTTTTACAGATGAGAACTTATTTATTTTTCCAAATAATTACAATGGACATACACCACAGCAACTGATCTAGCAAAACTGGAACAGATACCTCCAGCTCTACCTCAGTAACCCAACTCCTGTCTCTATAAAGGAGAAGATAGAAAGGGAAACTGTCTCTGTTACTGAGACTCTAAGGAGCAAATTCCTATGGCCTCTATGAGCATGGCAAATTTTTAACACTTTGTATAGGGCCAAATATTCCTCCATATCCTCATTACCATGACTAAGGTTACTCTTTGCAATTGTGAAACTAAAGTGCAGAATTAAGAAAGATAAAATTCTAAAAATAAGCTGAAACCACATAATAGCATCAATAAAGATACAAAGTACTAAGTAATAGAAAACTTCCTGAACAGTAATTGAAGTCATCCACCCCTTTCAAATGGAAATTATCTCTATTTAAATAATTGAAAGAGTAACACTGAAAGGTTAAGTGACTCCCTCCTACTAAGAAAAGCAAAAAATGCAACCTCTACTTGCTCTAAAAGCAGAAGGAAAAGAAAATAAATTTGGATCCTTGAGCAAATAATTGAGTCTAACTAAACATAACTGTTTGGGCCTGGTTCTAAAAATGCCTATTATTAAAATAATAAACATTTAAGCTCTACAGAAAAAAAAAGCTAGTAATTGCTATGGTGTTGTCATTATCAAAGTTATATTCATGACAAAGGGAGAACCACTTCTTTAGTATATACTGTATCTCCACCAGAACCAAGGAGAGAATAAATAAAATATACCAGACCTTTATTTGAACCTAAAATTCATTCACAATTATTTTCTCAATGTTTTAACATAGACTCTTAATTTCTCACTGTTGAAACTTAAAGGACCAAAGGTTTTATTCAAAGTATCACTCTTAAAGGCATTTTACCCCTGACTCAGGATATAAGAGAACATGGTGACCTTTATTCCAAACTTGAATTTCTTTTTTTTTTTATTTTTAAAGTATTTTGACATTTATTTTCTATTTTCAATGCATATCAAAATATACCATATATAGGTTTCATCCATGTATCCCCATATTTACAAAATATATATTCACTGGACTCACAATTTACGCCTCCCTCTTTCAGATCCTGTCTGTTTATATATGTTTTCACACAAAATTTCAAAAGTATATTCTTATGAATATTTGTATTTCTCCATATCTCTCCATATAAATCTTTATTCTCCGACCCTAACACTGCCTCAGTACAAGATTTGATATTACCCTTACCATACCTCTGTATATAAAAATAATGTGTTATATTTATAAATATGAGTATAAATTTCAGTGTATTTTGATATTTATATTCTATTTTCAATGTTAAATTTACATACATATCACAATATATCACATATTAGATTCATCCATGTGTCCTCATATATACAAAATGTATATTCAAAGGAGTCACACTTTACTATTCCCTGTGTCTGAGCCTTTATATTTACATATTTTTACACATATTTTCACAAGCACATTCCTATGAATATTCACATTTCCCCATATTAATCTTAATTCTATAACCCTAGTCCTAGTTCCGTACAAACTTTGATATTACCCTTTCCATACCTCTGTATATAAACCTAATGTGACTTATAACCCATATACACAAATATACAATACTGCAAATTGGTGCACTGAAACTTGAATTCCTTAAGAATATTGTACTTTTTATAACACCTATAGATGGCTTTTATATATAAAATCTTTTTAAACATATTGATCTACTCCTTTTAAATTGGATACATCACAATTCATGTACCTTCAAATGAACCAAATTGAAGTTCACAAAAATCTGTATTCAGCTGAAGAGAGTGTTTTACAAGAGCATTTTAGCTGTTCTAATTGTCCTAGTTGACCAGTTTTCTTGTTTACACTGAATTGCTTATAAACATGGGGCTCTTTTTATGTTTGAAACACTTCTTTGGCCTTGTACTGGGCTTCAGAGTCTTCCTTTGCCAAGAAACGAAAGGAAAAGGAAAAAGAGAGAAAAGAAAAAGAGCCAAGTTCTAGAATCACAGCACTTGGGACAAGAGTCCCCTGTATTTCTCTTTTGCTAGCAAAGCAATAAACCTTCTTTTTCCTTTTTCTCAAAAACAAAAACAAAAACCAAAGTACTTTAATTTCATTCCATTTTAGAAAAGTGAAAAATAGTATCTCTGGCTCCTAAATTAGCTTTGTTAATTTCAAACTCTTAACAATGGAAGAGCAAGGTTATGCACATAACATACACATACACAAATATACAAACATGCCCATGCTTTCTATGAAATATTCTTTCATTTTGTTTTAGAGACATATGGAAATTAATTTCAATTCAATCTAAGCTCATACAGATTAAATTAAATAGTCAAGTACAGCAAATCAACATCACACTAACTAGCATCTGAAAACTCAAGTTATTTCTTTTCCTAAAGAATGCTAAAAAAGCTCTACTAAATCCTTGAAAGGATTTTTAAATCTTTTTAAAGAAATAAAAACTCAATTTTCTTATCTTGTTAAGGCAGTGGTTCTCAATGCAAAAGTTGTCCAGGTACCAGCAGAATCAGCATAATCTGGGAATTAATTTGAAATTTACATTCTCAGTCCCCACCCCAGACCTGCTGAATCAGAAATTTTGGGGGTGGAACTCAGCAATTTGTGCTTTAACCAAGCCTCCAAATGACTCTGATGCTCACTACAGTTGGGAGCCATTGCCTTGAGATCTTGTTTTCTCTCCTTCCTATCAAGGTTAAGCATCTCAAAGTCTCCTTTATAACAGACATAGGCAAGTTTGAGGATCACTTTAACCATTCACTTACAATCCTTGGCCACCTGTACTAAGTATAGAAGCCTAAATGAATCACTTAGCTTTACTAAACCTCCATTTCTACATTTCTGAGGTATGATCTTAATGATATCTCAGGTGGATGCCAGGGCTGTAGGTTTTAAAGAAGCCTCAGGCCTTTATCAGGAGTTTGTCTATTTTGTTCTCAATCCTTCAGTTATTTTCTTGAAAGCCTGCATAGTATTCACCTGCAAATGTGAAGTTCAAACCTTGGTCAAAGACTACTTGGTCTCCTGCCCAGCAAATTATAGCCCCTTCAGATGCAGCATTCAATTCTGTGTCTCCTTAGCTCAATATTAGGACTATTATACTATTCTTGAACTTCATATTCCTGTGCTACTGTCAGAAAATGGTACACAGGGCAATGGTGACCACTATAATGTTAGGGCACCCACAGACCAATGCCTGAAAATATATATTTGTTGAGGTAGGAGCTGACCTGTTTTTGTTCTTCTTGTTGTTTATAGAGGGAAGGGTACTCTTGTACCTGTTGCTCTATCACAGATCCTTAAGCCAAAAGTTCTTTATGAACTTTTATGCAAACTCCTATAACATTTTCTTCAATGGTATCTGCCTCTAATGCTCTGTTTCTTAAGCCCATTCTTTATATACTTATCAGCGTAGTTCCAAAATGCAAATATGATCATGTCATCCTGAGGCTTAAAGCCCTTCAGTGGTTCTCCTTTATTCTAGAAGCAGTTTTCATATAAAAGGTGGTATGTTCATGGGGGCTGGAGAGAAATAACTTTCTGCTTCAACCAGAATTCTGAGTTCTTAGTTTATCTGTTGTATGGGGCTTCTGTATAAGCTTTTCTACAATGAAAAAGTACTTTTGGTTAAAAAACAAACAACAACAAAAGATTAAAAAACTATTGTCCTATAAAGTACAAGAGCCCTAACACTGTATACCAGGTTTTCCACATCCTGGTTACTGTCTTTGTGTTTAGCTTCAGGCTTTGCAGTCTAGGAACACCAAGTGTTTGCATTTTCCTAATATATCCCCTATCAGGGAGTCTATTGCCATTGCTTCGTTTATTCTCTCAGCCTGAAATGTCCCTCACTTTCTTTCTACATCTAACAGGTGAAACTATTTGTCCTAAGGTTAATATAGACATTGCCTCTTCTTGGACTTCCCCTTTTACCAATCCTCTCAGGCAAAGTTAAGGTACTCTCCCTTTATTTCTTCCAACAAGACATCTCTCCCTTATTGTCTTGATTTATAATTATTCACATGCAACTAATTCCATGTGAGTTAGGAGTTTGTATCTTACCAGCTATGATGGTTTGGATATGTGGTGTCCCTCAAAAGTTTACCTGAGACAATGCAAGAATTTTCATGATTACATTTTGAAAGGTATAACATAAGCAGTGGATTAATACATGGACATGGATTAAGTGGATGGTAACTGTGAGCAGTTAAGGTGTGGCTGAAGTAGGTAAGTCACTGGGGCTGTGTATTTGGGGTTTAAATTTTGTCCCTAGAGAGTGGAGCTCTTTCTGCTTCCTGCTTTCCATGTCCTGAGCTGTTTTTTTTCCACCATAATATTCTGCCTCACCCTTG